AACAGTCTCGGGCCTCTGGTGTTGATAGTTCTCTCTTGAACACTGTGAGGGGTCGGCCAGTTATGCCCCTTATGTGTAGTGGAAGCGTGTTGAACAGTCTCGGGCCTCTGATGTTGATAGTTCTCTCTTGAACACTGTGAGGGGTCGGCCAGTTATGCCTCTTATGTGTAGTGGAAGCGTGTTGAACAGTCTCGGCCCTCTGGTGTTGATAGTTCTCTCTTGAACACTGTGAGGGGTCGGCCAGTTATGCCCCTTATGTGTAGTGGAAGCGTGTTGAACAGTCTCGGGCCTCTGATGTTGATAGAGTTCTCTCCTGAACACTGTGAGGGGTCGGCTAGTTATGTCCCTTATGTCTAGCTGGCCGATCCCCTCACAGTATTCAAGAGAAAACTTGACAAACACCTCCAAACGTCCCCTCCACTTCAGCTCCGGTAATATTTCTTGTATTTTGGTAGAGCCCCTTTCAAAGCTGGAGAAATTGCTGACCTGGAGAGCGTGCAGAGATCCTTTACTGCTAGAATCCACTCAGTAAAACATCTAAACTATTGGGACCGACTAAAGAGCCTAAACCTGTATTCCCTTGAGCGCAGGCGAGAGATACATTCTACCTTCTAGTATCTTCCATATAAATATATATATATATATATATATATATATATATATATATATATATATATATATATATATAGAGAGAGAGAGAGAGAGAGAGAGAGAGAGAGAGAGAGAGAGAGAGAGAGAGAGAGAGAGAGAGAGAGAGAGAGAGAGAGAGAGAGAGAGAGAGAGAGAGAGAGAGAGAGAGAGAGAGAGAGAGAGAGAGAGAGAGAGAGAGAGAGGTACAGATATATATATATATATATATATATATATATATATATATATATATATATATATATATATATATATAATGTTATATCTCTCTGGTCTCCTCTCCAGACAGTAATCACCAGCATCAACAAAATCACTTTATATACTGCCAATTAAACTCATCATGCTTCCGGTAGCGCCGCCGTGCCCCTGCTGGCCCCTGTAACACAATCATCGCCGCAATAATCATCATGACTGTGCAACACTCATCAAGCAACACAAAGGAACACAGCGGAGAACCTATAAATCCAGGGATCCCATCACAATGGTTGTACTCTTCAAGTCACTTGTGTTGTCCCGTCTTGAGTACTGCTCAGTACTCACTTCCCCCTTCAGAGCAGGAGAGATTGTTGAAATAGAGGGAATACAGAGAACACATACGGGATACATAGACGAGATATATGTTTATTTCGTGTTTATAGAATGTTATATAATATTTATAGAATAGACTTATTCTATAAAGCGTAATAATGCAACTTATTTTAGTTTACATTTCAACTTTTAAATCGTTACATATTTAAAACATTAATGATCTAGCGATAATTACAATACCAAATAAGTTAAAACACTTGAATATGCGTTGATGGCGAGGTTGACCAGTCCAGCAACGAGGAGGCCTGGTCGAGAACCGGGCCTCGGGGACGTAGAGCCCCGAACACATCGCAAGATAAAATCTGACAACACCTTCCTTCTCCCAGGAATCAAACCACTGTTCCTACAGGATAATTGCACCTTACCGCTCGCCTCCTGCAGAAGCAACCATAAAAACCGTATTCTCATTTAACACCAATTACAATTATAAATTAAAAAAAAAATCGTAATATGTTCAAGAGAAAGCCGGCGTTCTTTGGCCGCTATTAAGCGCACGAAAATCTCTTTATGCGAGCTCCTAAATCTAGCGAGCTTTACTTGCTCACAGTTTTAGCGGGAGGGAGGGCGGGTAGAGGGAAAGGGGAAGGGAAGAGGGGGAAGGGAGAGAGGGAAGCAGGCAGGAAGGGTGCTCAGAGAGGCAGCGTTCAAGAACAGGGTACGTTCAGAGGAAGGGAGTAAGGAATCTTTTATACCAGTGGTCTCCAAGATGTGAGAGTGTATAGTGTGGGGTGTGTTGACCAGCACAAGGGGACGTCACTGGTCTTACACACACACATGGTGCCTGTCACGGTCCTTGTCAGTCTCAGACCAGGCTACATACTGGCCTCAGACTAGGCTACATACTAGCCTCAGACTAGGCTACATACTAGCCTCAGACTAGGCTACACACAAGCCTCAGACTAGGCTACATACTAGCCTCAGACTAGGCTACATACTAGCATCAGACTAGGCTACATACTGGCCTCAGACTAGGCTACATACTAGCCTCAGACTAGGCTACATACTAGCATCAGACTAGGCTACATACTGGCCTCAGACTAGGATACATACTAGCCTCAGACTAGGCTACATACTAGCATCAGACTAGGCTACATACTAGCATCAGACTAGGCTACATACTGGCCTCAGACTAGGCTACATACTAGCCTCAGACTAGGCTACATACTAGCCTCAGACTAGGCTACACACTAGCCTCAGACTAGGCTACATACTAGCATCAGACTAGGCTACATACTAGCATCAGACTAGGCTACATACTGGCCTCAGACTAGGCTACATACTAGCCTCAGACTAGGCTACATACTAGCATCAGACTAGGCTACATACTAGCCTCAGACTAGGCTACATACTAGCATCAGACTAGGCTACATACTAGCATCAGACTAGGCTACATACTGGCCTCAGACTAGGCTACATACTAGCCTCAGACTATGCTACATACTAGCATCAGACTAGGCTACATACTGGCCTCAGACTAGGCTACACACAAGCCTCAGACTAGGCTACACACGAGCCTCAGACTAGGCTACACACAAGCCTCAGACTAGGCTACACACGAGCCTCAGACTAGGCTACACACGAGCCTCAGACTAGGCTACATATTAGCCTCAGACAAGGCTACATATTAGCTTCAGACTAGGCTACACACTAGCCTCAGACAAGGCTACATACTGGCCTCAGACTAGGCTACATACTGGCCTCAGACTAGGCTACATACTGGCCTCAGACTAGGCTACATACTAGCCTCAGACTAGGCTACACACTAGCCTCAGACTAGGCTACACACAAGCCTCAGACTAGGCTACACACGAGCCTCAGACTAGGCTACACACAAGCCTCAGACTAGGTTACATACTAGCCTCAGACCAGGCTATATACGAGCCTCAGACCAGGCTACATACGAGCCTTAGACCAGGCTACATAACACAATGAAACCATTGTTTACTACCGGCAAGGGTTCTCGTGAAGAGGATCAACATACTCGCTAATTGCTCGTACTGCAATTCTCCGGAGACAATTAACTCATTACTGTTCAACATTTTACAACCAAAGGCGGCTATAATAATTATAAGATACCACCCGTTGTCGTTGTTTAAGATTCGCTACCTGGAACAAAAAGTTCCAAGTAGCACGGGCTATGGTGAGCCCGTAGTAGAGAGAGAGAGATACCACCCGTCTTTCCTCTTCACACCACTAATCTTACATTCTGAAAGGAAATATTTGGGTTTTCGTGCAAAGCAAGCGCCATGCCTTCTCTTATCTTGGCTCCAGACTTGCTCTCAACACTTATCTACATAATTAAACCACCGCAGTTTTCCTTCAAAACATTGGACTGCTTGTTGATTAACCACACACTAGAAAGTGAAGGGACGACGACGTTTCGACTTGAGAATGGTCCAGGACGGACCGAAACGTCGTCGTCCCTTCACTTTCTAGTGTGTGGTCTGGTTAACATATTTCAGCCACGTTATTGTGACTCCTCGTCTGCACTGGACTGCTTCTTATCTGTTTTCTCCAAACACAGAATTAACTATGTTGTTGATGAAATTTAAGAAGTATAGTGGATATAGGGAGCCGGTCGGCCGAGCGGACAGCACACTGGACTTGTGATCCTGTGGTCCTGGGTTCAATCCCAGGCGCCGGCAAGAAACAATTGGCAGAGTTTCTTTCACCCTATGCCCCTGTTACCTAGCAGTAAAATAGGTAGCTGGGAGTTAGTCAGCTGTCACGGGCTGCTTCCTGGGGGGTGGAGGCCTGGTCGAGGACCGGGCCGCGGGGACACTAAAAAGCCCCGAAATCATCTCAAGATAACCTCAAGACATGTTCTCGTCACTGTCGGCGAGGTTAATCACCGATGAGTCTGGTCAATAACTAGATGATTATAGACCCAATGACATGAGGTATCTGGGGCTTAGAGACTACTTCCTTCACTAACGGATTTGAGAGAATATCATCACAATTGACCCGAAGTTTGCTAGAGCAGCCCGTCCTCCAAACACCCAAAATCCATTCCATGCAACCAGGCTGTGGTGGGTATGTAGGTCTGCGGGGGGCTCCAAGCAACAGCCTGGTGGACCAAACTCTCACAAGTCAAGCCTGGCCTCGGGCCGGGCTTGGGGAGTAGAACAACTCCCAGAACCCCATCAACCAGGTATACCTTGAGATAATTCGAGTGGAAGAAGCAGAGAACACTGTAAAAGTAGCCCCAAGGTATTACACAGGTGTAATATTTATATTAAAATTTTGATGTAAATAAAGGTTGACTACAATTAAATATCCTTAGACGTCTTAGGGCCTGTCAGACGGGATCTCCTTAGGCTGTCATCTCAGCCACCTACGGCCAGACTCAGGAGAAAGCGGCCGCAGTTTGTCATAACATATGTAGATGAGGAGGTGTGGGGGAGCTGGTGACCACGTGTGTGTCAGGTGTGTGGCGCCTGGTGACCACGTGTGTGTCAGGTGTGTGGCGCCTGGTGACCACGTGTGTGTCAGGTGTGAGGCGCCTGGTGACTACGTGTGTGGCGTCTGGTGGTCAGGTGTGTGGCGCCTGGTGACCACGTGTGTGTCAGGTGTGTGGCGCCTGGTGACCACGTGTGTCAGGTGTGTGGCGCCTGGTGACCACGTGTGTGTCAGGTGTGAGGCGCCTGGTGACCACGTGTGTCAGGTGTGAGGCGCCTAGTGACCACGTGTTACATATATATATATATATATATATATATATATATATATATATATATATATATATATATATATATATATATATATATACCTGCTGCATGGGTGACAGCTTCTCTCCCTTTGAGCCGTGGAGAGGCGCCACTCCAGACCAACAACCAGAGCACAACTCCATAGTCTCCTGAGACTGATAGATGTCTACTACTAAATATACTAAACACACAAGATTTAGATTTATAAATTGCATTTATCAGTGATGAAATCATTGTATAAAGTCATGTCCACACTGACACACCCTCATCATTCTGGAGGTTCTGGAGCTTCAGGTTCTGGAGCTTCAGGTTCTGGAGCTTCAGGTTCTGGAGCTTCAGGTTCTGGAGCTTGAGGTTCTGGAGCTTCAGGTTCTGGAGCTTCAGGTTCTGGAGCTTCAGGTTCTGGAGCTTCAGGTTCTAGAGCTTCAGGTTCTGGAGCTTCAGGTTCAGGAGCTTCAGGTTCTAGAGCTTCAGGTTCTGGAGCTTCAGGTTCTGGAGCTTCAGATTCTGGAGCTTCAGGTTCAGGAGCTTCAGGTTCAGGAGCTTCAGGTTCTGGAGCTTCAGGCTCTGGAGCTTCAGGTTCTGGAGCTTCAGGTTCTGGAGCTTCAGGTTCTGGAGCTTCAGGCTCTGGAGCTTCAGGTTCAGGAGCTTCAGGTTCTGGAGCTTCAGGTTCAGGAGCTTCAGGTTCAGGAGCTTCAGGTTCTGGAGCTTCAGGTTCAGGAGCTTCAGGTTCAGGAGCTTCAGGTTCAGGAGCTTCAGGTTCTAGAGCTTCAGGTTCTGGAGCTTCAGGTTCTGGAGCTTCAGGTTCAGGAGCTTCAGGTTCAGGAGCTTCAGGTTCTGGAGCTTCAGGTTCTGGAGCTTCAGGTTCTGGAGCTTCAGGTTCAGGAGCTTCAGGTTCTGGAGCTTCAGGTTCTGGAGCTTCAGATTCTGGAGCTTCAGATTCTGGAGCTTCAGATTCTGGAGCTTCAGGCTCTGGAGCTTCAGGTTCTGGAGCTTCAGGTTCAGGAGCTTCAGGTTCTGGAGCTTCAGGTTCTGGAGCTTCAGGTTCTGGAGCTTCAGGTTCAGAAGCTTCAGGTTCTGGAGCTTCAGGTTCTGGAGCTTCAGATTCTGGAGCTTCAGGTTCTGGAGCTTCAGATTCTGGAGCTTCAGGTTCTGGAGCTTCAGGTTCTGGAGCTTCAGGTTCTGGAGCTTCAGGTTCAGGAGCTTCAGGTTCTGGAGCTTCAGGTTCTGGAGCTTCAGGTTCTGGAGCTTCAGGTTCTGGAGCTTCAGGTTCTGGAGCTTCAGGTTCTGGAGCTTCAGGTTCTGGAGCTTCAGGTTCTGGAGCTTCAGGTTCTGGAGCTTCAGGTTCAGGAGCTTCAGGTTCTGGAGCTTCAGGTTCTGGAGCTTCAGGTTCTGGAGCTTCAGGTTCTGGAGCTTCAGGTTCTGGAGCTTGAGGTTCTGGAGCTTCAGGTTCTGGAGCTTCAGGTTCTGGAGCTTCAGGTTCTGGAGCTTCAGGTTCTGGAGCTTCAGGTTCTGGAGCTTCAGGAGCTTCAGGTTCTGGAGCGACCCGGGATCAAAATCCCCCAATACACCGTTCATGGAACATGGAGTTGACTTCAAGAGGACTCAATATGGCTGCCAGTCAGCTCTCTCTTTGTGACAGTTGTTCCGTAATAATTCCAAATTCCCAGCAGAGAGGCGAGGGCTTCCGGCCTTCTCTGATGCTGAGTAGTTAGTATCATCCCATCATGTATACCCACTACGGTATTATATGTATATCTCTCATTATTAAGCTGTATTTCCTGATAATTAAATGTATATTTCTGGACATGTTAAAACTGGGAGCCTGAAAACACAGAGTTGACTGGGTTTACTGGATGGGTGATTCTCTTTAGACAAAAGGATATTATTAGTTTGTAAACTATTTTGTTGACCAGACCACACACTAGAAGGTGAAGGGACGACGACGTTTCGGTCCGTCCTGGACCATTCTCAAGTCGATGGTGACTTGTAAACTATTTCTTCAAGTGTGAGTGTGGACATGAGGCTTGCTATGAGTGCGAGGATGAACTCCCCAAAATGGTTCCTGAACATTTCCTCCATTCACAGTACCTGACTGTGATAGATGACGGGACGGTCTCACTTCATGCAGGTCTGCGTTCAATCCCCGACCGTCCAAGTGGCTGGGGACCATTCCTTTCCCCCGTCCCATCCCAAACCCGTATCCTGACCTCTGATAATTCCCTCCCTCGCCAGGATCATGTTATAGGTCCCGGGGTTCACATCCACCCCAGCAGTCATGTACACAACAAATAATAAAGGGCGAAAAACAGGACCTTGTTTGACCCTAATTTTTGTGAGAAATATTAAGAGAGGATATAACTCCATTTCACAGATAATGTACATATCTGATAAGAAATATATACATATCTAGCTATGACAGGACATACTTTCCTGCGAAGCAATTCTATACATTTTTTGACGTGTTCAACTTTTATATAATCATATAATGTACCTTACATTATAATGTTCATTATGTTCATGAATGTGCAGGTTTCAGGTCCGATGGGATGAGGCGTTATCTTGAGGTTATCTTGAGATGATTTCGGGCTTTAGTGTTCCCGCTGCCCGGTCCTCCAGCAGGCCTCCACCCCCAGGAAGCAGCCCGTGACAGCTGACTAACTCCCAGGTACTGTACCTATTTACTGCTAGGTAACAGGGGCATCAGGGTGAAAGACACTCTGCCCATTGTTTCTCTCCGGCACCCGGGATCGAACCCGGGCGCTCTGTTCTGACACACGGACCCAAACGTGTGAAATTTGCCCATATCAGGGCCATGACTTTCATATCTGACTATAATTATAAGTGAGTAACACTTCCTAGTTCACACCTGGTGTAAACTAAGAAGTCTGGACACACACCGGGCCAGGTGTGTGTCCGGCCACACACACCTGGCCCGGTGTCCCCACCACACACACCTGGCCAGGTGTCTCAGAAAACCTGGTCGTCAGTGTTGGAAGAAAATGTGTGTCTGGCGTTGTGGAGGCTGTATATTAACTGGAGCCGACGTTATCCACCCGCCCCACAACTAAGATATGACCCATAAACTGTTTCCTCACCGACACACACACACACACACACACACACACACACACACACACACACACACACACACACACACACACACACACACACACACAGGTATGAGCTACGAGGAGAGACTACGGGAATTAAACCTCACTTCGCTGGAAGACAGAAGAGTTAGGGGTGACATGATCACCACATTCAAGATTCTGAAGGGAATTGATAGGGTAGATAAAGACAGGCTATTTAACACAAGGGGAACACGCACTAGGGGACACAGGTGGAAATTGAGTGTCCAAATGAGCCACAGAGATATCAGAAAGACCTTTTTTAGTGTCAGAGTGGTTGACAAATGGAATGCATTAGGAAGTGATGTGGTGGAGGCTGACTCCATACACAGTTTCAAGTGTAGATATGATAGAGCCCAATAGGCTCAGGAACCTGTACACCAGTTGATTGACAGTTGAGAGGCGGGACCAAAGAGCCCGAGCTCAACCCGCGCAAGCACAATTAGGCGAGTACACATTTTCTGTGTGGGGGGGAGGGGCGGTGGCTGATTGGACAGCCCGCTAGACGCGTGATTCTGTGGTCCCGGGTTCGATTCCCGACGCCGGCGAGAAACAATGGGCAGAGTTTCTTTCACCCTATGCCCCTGTTACCTAGCAGTAAATAGGTACCTGGGTGTTAGCCAGCTGTCACGGGCTGCTTCCTGGGGGTGGAGGCCTGGTCGAGAACCTGGCCGCGGGGACACTAAAGCCCCGAAATCAACTCAAGATAACCTCAAGAAACGTGGTAGTCTGCTCATGTTCTGGTGAGTGGTTCGGTCATTATCTACGGCTCCAGAGACAAGTATGTTACAGCTTGATTGGCCGCTTTTAGAGCGAGTCAAGAGGAAAGAGTGTCTTGAGATAATTAGATTAACAGTCTGACTTCCAATTATTAACTCTTACATGCCACTGAACTGTTGCAGTTAGGGCGACGCACAACGCACTAATTGGTGCTCCCTCGGGATGACCCGAGACCCCAGTCATCAGTGAGGTGTGTGGTGTCCTTCACCCTCCTGCTCCACGTGCTCCAGAGTGATTGGGGAAGATTAAGCCACCCAAGAGGTGGCACGGGCATGAATAACCCGTAATACATACTCCTGGTTGATACCTGGTTGATGGGGTTCTGGGAGTTCTTCTACTCCCCAAGCCCGGCCCGAGGCCAGGCTTGTCTGGTGCCTGGTTCAAAGGTGCCCACCCACTTGGACGGTCGGGAATCGAACGCCAACCTGCATGAAGCGAGACCGTGGCACTACCGTCCAGCCCAAGTGGCTGGGCCTCCGGAACGTCTCACCACAGCGGCTCCTCATTATAACAACATTACCCCCTTGTGCTCGGTGTGTTAAAGTGGCGTGTATGTTCCTCTGTTGTCGCCTCAACCTCAGCCCAGCCTCCTAACACGGACACGGTCAACCAGCCTCTTAACACGGACAGACAACACGGACACTGTCAACCAGCCTCCTAACACGGACACTGTCAACCAGCCTCCTAACACGGACACGGTCAACCAGCCTCCTAACACGGACAGACACCACGGACACGGTCAACCAGCCTCCTAACACGGACACGGTCAACCAGCCTCCTAACACGGACAGAGAACACGGACACTGTCAACCAGCCTCCTAACATGGACACTGTCAACCAGCCTCCTAACACGGACAGACACCACGGACACGGTCAACCAGCCTCCTAACACGGACAGACACCACGGACACGGGCAACCAGCCTCCTAACACGGACAGTACTTATAGTAAAAATGTGCTCAAAAGTACAAATAGGGGATAGAAATAGCCTAAGCTACTCTATCCCTTTGAGATGTATTTCTTTCTTGTCTCAATAAACATACTTGAACGTGAAGTACAAATATGTCGTGACGGACCACCAGAAAGTACACTTTTGTACTATTCAATTTGGCCAAACCGGAAAAGTTTTGATATTTATGTTGCTATTAAAACCTAACCTAACCTAACCTAACCTCCAAGGCTGCGTACATTCCTCCTGCGTGCGAATAACTCTCGTTACTCACTCTAGTAACTGTCACCAGTTACGTTACTGACTGTGGTAAACACCCTGAGCCCTCAGTAATAAAGGGAGCCGGTCGGCCGAGCGGACAGCACGCTGGACTTGTGATCCTGTGGTCCTGGGTTCGATCCCAGGCGCCGGCGAGAAACAATGGGCAGAGTTTCTTTCACCCTATGCCCCTGTTACCTAGCAGTAAAATAGGTACCTGAGTGTTAGTCAGCTGTCACGGGCTGCTTCCTGGGGGTGGAGGCCTGGTCGAGGACCGGGCCGCAGGGACACTAAAAAGCCCCGAAATCATCTCAAGATAACCCCTCAAGATAACCCCTGCTACATACCAACACAACAGCACATCGTATCAGTATCGCATGTAAAGGTCACTTGAACGTTGGTACTGAACTGGAGAGAGTCCAAGACGATTCAATTATCTATCCATATGGTCACTGTAGTAAGGTTATAATAGAGAGGATTTGGCCAGATACTGGTTGTGTTGTCAAGATGCTCCACAGTGGCTAGCACAAGCATCTCTTGCCAGCATCCCGCTGCCAACACCTCCTCCCAATTATATCCAGCTATAAAGAAAATAAACTTTAAATCTGGAAAGATTCACTGTGGATGCTGGAATCTGCGAAGATCCGCTGTGGATGCTGGAGTCTGTGAAGATTCACTGCGGATGCTGGAGTCTGTGAAGATTCACTGTGGATGCTGGAGTCTGTGAAGATTCACTGCGGATGCTGGAGTCTGTGAAGATTCACTGTGGATGCTGGAGTCTGTGAAGATTCACTGTGGATGCTGGAGTCTGTGAAGATTCACTGTGGATGCTGGAGTCTGTGAAGATTCACTGTGGATGCTGGAGTCTGTGAAGATCCGCTGTGGATGCTGGAGTCTGTGAAGATCCGCTGTGGATGCTGGAGTCTGTGAAGATCCACTGTGGATGCTGGAGTCTGTGAAGATCCACTGTGGATGCTGGAGTCTGTGAAGATTCACTGTGGATGCTGAAGTCTGTGAAGATCCACTGTGGATGCTGGAGTCTGTGAAGATTCACTGCGGATGCTGGAGTCTGTGAAGATTCACTGTGGATGCTGGAGTCTGTGAAGATTCGCAGCAGATGCTGGAAGTGGAGACGGATCCTCAGCTAGTAATGCTAGCCATTACTGCCTTAACCGTGATACTTGATCTCGTTCGATCCCGGAGGTCACACTCCATCATCGGGACCATCTCCGCACCCCTTTCACAGCCTCGCTGAAAGAACCAATTCTCATAACCGTCAAGGAGACCTTCCTTACACTCCCAAGTTTCCCCCGTGATGCTGTCAAAGGAAAAGTTGGCAAGTTTCTTTCATTTGATTTTTATGCATATCAGCAAAAAAGTTGGGTACGCAGACTGTACTGGAGGAGAGGGAGATGCAGACTGAGATACAGCCGGCAGACACACAGGGTGTGGATGCTGGCAGATGCTACAGCAGGCAGACACACAGGGTGTAGATGCTGCCAGATGCTACAGCAGGCAGACACACAGGGTGTAGATGCTGCCAGATGCTACAGCCGGCAGACACACAGGGTGTAGATGCTGCCAGATGCTACAGCAGGCAGACACACAGGGTGTAGATGCTGCCAGATGTTACAGCAGGCAGGGACACAGGGTGTAGATGCTGCCAGATGCTACAGCCGGCAGACACACAGGGTGTAGATGCTGCCAGATGCTACAGCAGGCAGACACACAGGGTGTAGATGCTGCCAGATGCTACAGCAGGCAGGGACACAGGGTGTAGATGCTGCCAGATGCTACAGCCGGCAGACACACAGGGTGTAGATGCTGCCAGATGTTACAGCCGGCAGACACACAGGGTGTAGATGCTGCCAGATGTTACAGCAGGCAGGGACACAGGGTGTAGATGCTGCCAGATGTTACAGCAGGCAGACACACAGGGTGTAGATGCTGCCAGATGCTACAGCAGGCAGACACACAGGGTGTAGATGCTGCCAGATGTTACAGCAGGCAGGGACACAGGGTGTAGATGCTGCCAGATGCTACAGCAGGCAGACACACAGGGTGTAGATGCTGCCAGATGCTACAGCAGGCAGACACACAGGGTGTAGATGTTGCCAGATGCTACAGCCGGCAGACACACAGGGTGTAGATGCTGCCAGATGCTACAGCAGGCAGACACACAGGGTGTAGATGCTGCCAGATGCTACAGCCGGCAGACACACAGGGTGTAGATGCTGGCAGATGTGCATCACTCACCAACAGCTGAACTATGTCTTTGCTACCCCCCCCCCACCCATGAACAGGACACCTAATCCTCCCGTGGATTAGGATCCACATAACCCCATGAGGATGTCTCCATCATGGAGAAATCCACGAGGGAGAAAAACGCCATCACGGCTCCATCAGATGCCACTAAAGAGAGTTCATTCCACATAGTGAG